GCAAACTGACATTTTTTGGGCGGTTAGGAGAAGAAGATGAAGGTGGAGGAAGCGCTTCGTCATACAGAGAGACTTGAAGATGGGATAGTTTCTTTTTGTATTCAAACAAGTTTACAAAACATTTTGTTAAAGCTGGTTCGTTGTGATGTAATTCGACAAATTCTTTTGTCTTTTTTCATGTCTTATAGAAAATGGTAAAAAATATTTGTTGAATTAATAGAGCTTGAAGGATTGCATTGTAAACTTGTTTCTGGGGATCTAGACGAAGTTCAGCTGTGGTACGAACTAAATGATTGAACAGATTAGAAACACTTTGTAAAACGTAGATTAAAAACATCTTCTGTTTCTTGTTTTTTCTTTTTCGTTTTTTTTTATTTTAGTTAGAAATGGATCAGAGAGATTTTTTGGTTATTTCTTGGAGGTAGTCTAAGATTTTTCATGTGTGTAATCATTTAGAAAGTATCTGAGTAGAAATTTACGTGTACAATTATTGTTAAAACGTTTTCTTTTTTTTTTTGTTTTTTTAAGAACGATTACGCACATTTAGATCTTATTAATTAAACGAGAGAATTTGAATGTCTTGAACAAACGTCACTTACCATGACAATGATGAAATCAAGCCAGCACCAAGCGTTCGTGAAGTACTTTTTGAAGCCGAGAGCCAACCATTTAATTAACATTTCGATGAAGAAAATCACAGTAAATATTCGATCCATGTAGTATAAGATATCTTGCAGAATGGGTCGTTGTTGAAGATGCACATCTTCCAAGGCCTAAATACCAGAGATAAAAAATAACACTTATTTCAGGAATTTGTATTTAAAGAATTACTGAGAAGAAATTGTTTATTGCCTAAGTTGAATGTAATAATCGAAAGATTTTGAAAACCTTTAGAATTTAATATGAGTTGCACAATTTTTATTCTTAAACATTTTGGTTACGAATAACCGATATAAATGATAAATTTTGTTTTTCTTTGATCACTGGTAACCATTATCGATGACGAAAATCTCTTTGGTTTCTAATTGTTTATATAAATATAAAATGTGAAGACTGGACACAAGAAAGGCTGTAAGCGCCAATAGCTGTGGCAGTGTGTTTTTGTTAATTAATAACACTTCAAAATATTAAAATAAAATTAGTGCGGTACATGTAAGAAATAAGTTTAGATAAATTTGAACGAAAAATGCGTTTTTCTTTCATTTTTACTTTTAGCAGTTGCAGCCCTCCGTTATATCTAGTCTTCATTTGTCAAGGAAAATGAAGTAAATGATAAAAGATCCAGTGTACACTTACGAGAGCCATACTACTCAAAAGGATCATCAAAATGACGGCAGTCTCAAAATACTTGTTCTCAATTAGTTGGAAGGTCTTCAGTCTCAAGTTCGCCCAACCCTGCCAGAATGGAGCGTCATCGTCGCCAGCCAAGAACGGGAACTTCTTGTAACAATTTTCGGGGCAACAGTCAGCTGGATAATCGGGCTCAATGGGATCTTCGTCTGCTTGGATAATCGCATCTCCTAGTTCACCCTCTCTTTCCTCTCCCTCTTCTCCAAGATCTTGGAAATATAGTTTCATTTTAGTGATAAAATAATTGAAGAACCTTTACACATAAAGCAGGTCTTCTACTGTACTCAATTTTAAGAAATTACGGTACCAAACATTAATGGAACGCTAAGATAATTGATTTAACTCTTAGGTGTCTGAAAAAGCACTAACTCACACGTTCGAACTTTTAAATTTTAAATTAATCTGTACACAAAAATTTTAAGTAAAAACGATTCGAATTTTTAATATTCTCATTCCCAAATGAAAGTCAATTGACTACTAATTAAATATTATACTGAGTGATCCATTTAAATCTATAACTGTTAATATTTCGGAAATTAAGTTAAATTGAAAAACCTGCTTTTGGGGGGTTAACTGTGATAGAGCGGGACACTAGTGTGGGCAGGTGTAAATTCGCTAAGTTAAGGTCACTTCAAGTTCAGTTGGATTTTTATAATGGCACGTAGTATATTTCTTTCTGTAAAATGATACGTGTCATTTAAAAAATTCCAACTGACCTTGAAGTGATCGTAATGCTTGCACTTATTAGCGAACTTACACCTGTACGTACATTTAATCCCCCAAAAGCAGGTTTACCAATTATCGATTAAAATGTGTTACTTTATACATATATTATCTACATTTTATATTTATATATTTAGCTAAACACAAGCACAGTTTGCATTTTATTCATAGTCAAAACAATGTCGACATTATAAACTTAAAATACCTTCTTCTTGTTCTAGGTCTTCTTTACTCGCATCTTTCTTTTCCTCGCCATCCAACGAGTCCATACTTCCCTTATGACTATCGTCCTTGAACGCTCTATTCTTATGGCTGCCATATGATTTATTACTACAATAAATATAAAATTCAAGAAAAACAAAAATATAATCCATCTGTCCTTTCATAGAGAGAATAATCTTTGCAGCTATTAAAATCTACAAAAAAAAAAAGAAAAGAAATTCACCTGATGGTGTCGTCCTCATTCTGATTGATGTAATCGTTGTCCAACCTGTAGTCACGGTGGTTTATCGAGTTTGCTATAACTTTGCTGTTTATGCACTGTTTACCCTTCTTCGATTTACTCTTTAGGTCTCCTTCGAAAAAAATCATTCTCATTTCATCATTAATAAACTATTTAACTGTAGTCTTTGGAAAAAAAATTGAGCAAACACAAAGGAAATGACGACGATCAGGGGAAATGTTCGTTCTCCTCGATACGCTTACCATGAATAGTGAATTCCATTCCGTCTCCGATAGCAACTTCGAGTTGATTTAGCTCCTTGGCACTCTTTTTATCTCTATACGCATCGAGCTCGCCATCTGCAAGATCTAGGTCCCCGTCACGATCAATTCCATCTGCACAGTCATACAAAATCTCTAACCCGCCCTTATCAGAATCATTTCGTCAAAAAATATGTCTGAATTGTATAACTGAACTAGTATTGTCTCATCGAGTAACCGGAAACACTAGGAAATCGTCGATCCTCCAGTTTGGTCCGAAGATATTTCAGAAGAAACAAAATAAACTTGTTTAATTTCATTTCTCACAGAATTGTCTTCTTTTTTTTTTTTTTTTTTTTTTTTTTTTTTTTTTTTTTTTTTTTGGTTCATGCAGTATGGATCTGATTCTAATTTGGTCGCGATGTTATTCTAAGTTACTATTGATCAACGATAAATACGTGTGACTAATTTTTTTTCTGTTTTCTTTTTACGCGATACATGATGGATTATGTTCTACGTATATTTAATCGTCATTACTTAATAATATAATACATCAGAATCGAAGAAGGTGTAGTCTTGTTTTCTTTTTCCATTGCAAAATATTCATAACAAGCAGAAGTTGTAAAAAAGGAGAAGAAAATATTATGCTCTTGCTTGAAAAAATAATAGAAACTTTACGAGCGATCTTAGTTGCATGAATTTTTGTAGAATTTTGGTTCGTTGTTTTCGTCGTTGATAATGTTATATACAGGGTGTTGTAAAATCGACGTGACACAAAATAGTGATTTGGCAATAGAAATTAAGCTATATAAAATCTGATTGTAATAATAAGGCAGTATTTTCTTAGTTTTCAAAATTATTTAAAGAATAATTTTGAAATTATTGTTTAATATTCTTAGTTATCAATGTATAAAACAAATTTCTTTCCATTATGCATTCCTTACGGACCATTGATTATCTGGTTGAAATTATTTCGAGACACCCAGTATATAGAATAGATATTACCATTCCAATTCTTTTGTGGATCTCAAATTATTTACTTCATACTTTCGATAAATTTCAATTTTTTCGTTTAGCAATTTTTGATGCTGATCAATCCAGATGTATCGCGCGATGCTCGACAATCTACACTCGATCTTAATCCATAATATCAAAGTTATCTTCGAATCACCGACATACGAAACGTTTACTGTCTCCAACGTGAAAATAATAGGCAAAGCAACGTATAACTGCCAGGCTAATCAGCGAAGCAAAAATTAATCTATCCCATCTGTGACGTATTTAACTTTCTTTCTATCGTTTTGTAAGAAACGTAGAAAAATAGCGAACCGATCAAAAACTCTGTATTGAGAAAAACTGAAAAAAGAAAAAGAAACACCAGTCAACGCTTTCTGCTGCTCGTGTGAAAAAAATATCACAACGGAAAATAGAATAAAAAGCACGAAATCTAGAAAGAAGAAGAAAAAGAAGAAACATTGTTCTCTATGGAACGTTGAAAAGAAAAATATGAAATCTTGCTAACTATTATCGCGCTGCTTTCTATTATAATTTTGTTCGAATATCGACAAATAAAGAAGAAGAAATAAAAATTATTCCTCGATTATAATCGAAGAAGATATGCAAAGAAATTTCTGTTCGTCGACTGGCAGCGAAACAAGAGAACTAAAAACAATTGTTGTTTCTGTTCGTCGAAAAAAGTGAAAAGCAGAACTGAAAAACAGTGCCACGAACTACACAGCGCACACAGCAAGCGATCTGATTGGATATAAACCTTCTTTCCAACTGTTGGACGGTCCCTCACCTGGCGCCTGATCGGATATCTGATTGGTGAGTTTGGCTCGCATCATTTTAGCAAGATAAAGGACATTTCGCTTGATCCACTTAACGAATCGTGCTATTCGATCGATCGCCTCCGCGATCTTGTTCGTATCGTTGTCCGCGGTCGGCGCCGATAGATTCGACGAGCCGAAGTTGCTCAGCAACAAGGCCAAGAAGAGATTCAGCACCTGTTCGTTGCACATCATACATTTTCATTTTGTCTTGCTTCACGTTCTGCTTTAATCTTTAAGAAGATTATTTTGAGTTCGATAGAGGAAGTGGGATACGATTCTTTTTAAATATGGATGTGTTGATGAATTTCACTTCGATCTTTAAGGGTTTGGTTCAAAGATTAATTTCACTTCAATGGAGAATGTGAGATACAAGTTTTTTGAACGTGGATGACAATTTTATATTTGATGAAGGAACTACGGTTTAATTTTAACAGCAGCTGAACGTGGGTTTAAAATAAAAAAGTGGATAAAAGTTTGATTTAGATGAAGGAATAGGACCTAATTTCTCTAAAAATGAACGTGTTTCAAAATATGTATTGAATTGGAAAAATTGAAGATCAAGTGAAAAGTTTTATCTTTAAAGATACGGAGGTAAAAGTTTCAAGAGAAACTTGTACATTTTTCTTTGCTACAATTCTAATGCAAGAAACGTTTTTGTAAATAAAAAAAAGTCACAACTGAATGTTTTCACAATTCTTCAATTATTTCTAATTGAACATGTAATCTTCGTAATATTAAATTTGAAGCTGAAAAACCTGACGCTCAAAGATCATCACTGAAAAACAAAATAAGCGTGACATTTAAAGTTCAGTAAGGTGAAGATACTTCAAGGAAACAATTGAACATATTCATATGTGAGAAATATTTTTTGTTTGGTATACTTACAACAAGATTACCGATGACAACAGTCGCCAGAAAGAATGGTATACAAGAAACGTCGCCCACGAGCATACAGTCCCACATAGACTCGATCCATTCACCACAGAGTACGCGAAAAACGATCATGAATGAATGCATAAAGTCGGTGAAATTCCATCTTGGTAAATCGCCGTCGGGGAACCGATCGACATTGTCGGTATAGTTCTTGCCAAACAGCTGCATACCCATCACGGCGAAAATGAAGATAATGATACACAACACGAATGTCAAATTACCCAGCGCGCCCACTGTTCTGCCCATGATGGAGATCAGCAGATTCAACGTAGGCCACGACTTCGCCAATTTGAACACTCTCAGCTGGGAACAGAAATATTAAATCTGTTATTATATTTTGTTGATAGTGATACTGCATATTTTTAATACAAAAATTTGACGTTATTTAAAATAATAACTAGTTATCGATCATTTTTTTATTCTAACGGGTGCGTTAATAGAATGTAACGATTTTCAAGGAACTATTGTGAGATGCTCAAGTTAAATTAAAATAAAGTACATTTATTTAAAAAAACAATTGTATAATGCAATTTATTCATTATTCCATTATTTTTTTTAAATCATTTTTTCCAAGCGCCTTCCTCGACAGCGTATACAGTAATGCCCGGTTAGTGAATGCAGGCCGGGGATCTAATCGCGTCTACTATCGAGGGAGATAGATGTTCCAGGAATTGCCCGGTCTTATCTCTCTTCAACTCGCTCGCTTCTGGGTGCGTCGGGAACGAGAATCAGCGAGTGAGATAGAATGGAATAAGAAATTGTGCTTACTTAAACGTTAGGACAGTTACTTGTATTATTACATGCTTCTATAGTGCCTTTCATTATTATTATACATAGACATTTAAGTACATGTGTATTATAACATCTATTTTATACTCCCTTTCTAGTCTTTCATTAATTATACAGGGAAAGTGGTTTGGTATCAAATGGGGCATACAATGTAATCTGATAGTCCGCTTGTCATCTTGAATTTTTATATCACGATGTGTAATATTTGACCTTGTAGTTCGAAAGAGTACTGAATGATGAGTAAAAAATTATAAGGTATATGGGGTGAGAAACTAACAATTGTCGAGATACATATTCTTCAGTGAAAGATGATGGAAAGTTTGTGCATGGAATTGACGATCAAATAATTGGACCGTACTCTATTGAGGGATCATTGACAGGACACAACTATTCCATCTTCTTGTCTGAAACACTACCATCCTTACTATCAGATTTACCGTTACAAACAATTTCAACAATGTGGTAATCGATGGATTGGACGTGGAGGACAAACTCCATGGCCAGCTCGGTCTCCGGATTAGACGCCACTTGATTATTTTCTTTGAGGACATTTGAAAAATGAGGTTCATTGCGAACCACCTACGACACCTGAACACACGAAGGATCGTATCATTAGAACACGTAATGGTATAACTCCTGAAACACTTGAACGTGTGTCACTCGCTCTCATTGATCGCCTACGCATTTGTATTCAATGCAGTGAACAGCATTTTAAGCATTGCTTACATTAAAGATTAATTAAGGAATATCTCGGTAATTGTTAGTTTTTGACCCCATATACCTTATAGTTCTTTACTCATCATTCAGTACTCTTTCGAACTACAAGGTCAAATATTCCACATCATGATACAAAAATTCAAGGTTACTTTCATATCTCGATAAAAAAGCGGACTATCAGAAAACTAAACAACTTTTGGTTGAAAATTTGTTTGATACAACAAATAGTTTACGAGTAAATTTAGGTGGCACAGTTAAAAACCTCACCCTGTATATTGGACTCTAACTGAAAATTATTTAAGTATAATCGTATTTGGTATCATCTTCATCGCATGTATATTAGTAATTCGATTAAAGCAATCTCATAATTACAAAGTGAAAAATATAAAACTGATGTTTCTTATTTCAGTGGGCCATTGTCACTTGTGTTATTGTCGACGAGGGGTGTAGATAACGCAGAACCTCGATGAACTCGGAGTTCCGAGCAACCAATTCCAGGAACTACAAAGAGGAGATGATTCCGCGTTCACTAACAATAAGTAAGTAGGCAAGACTAACCAGGCATTACTGTACATCCTTGCAAATCAGGCCACTAATGATTCATCAGTTATATTTCGTTTTAACTCTACGATAGTGCATGGTTTTTTTCACATAATGAGTGATATTGTGATTACGAAAATGTTCTAAAAAAATAATGAAATCATTAATAAATTGCATTATATTACTTTCCTAACATTTTTAAAATAAAAGTGTTTTATTTCAATTTACCCTGACTATCCGACGATAGCTCTTTGAAAATCGTTAGATTTTATTGTCGCATCTGTTATAATGTTTGAGAAAATTGTTAGTATCGATCATGCAGTTTCGTCGTTATTTAGAATAATAACAAGATATTTGTTTTTGTTACTTTTTTATTGTATATGATATTGGAATTCAGATATATTTTGCATAGCTTACCAATCTGAACGATCGCAATACAGAAAGACCTTGCACACCCTCTAAGCCTAATTCCAGCAGTGAAAGAGCGACGATAATGAAGTCGAAAATATTCCATCCCTCTTGAAAGTAATATTTGGGACTCATTGCTATCAGTTTTAGCGTTGCCTCGATACCGAATGTCGCCGTGAAGAACTACAATTCACACGAACATATTTGTATTATAATCAAAAGGAAAAAAGAAAACGAAAATTGTATAAAATAATCTGTTTACGAATTATTATTTATTTTAGAAATGAATAGTAACAAATATTAACTCTGAATTACTATGGTGGACATATAAAAATGTAGGGTTATATGAAAAAAACATATCCTTCAGGGGGTCACTCTGAGGCGTCTAAAAATAGGTAAAGTTTGGGTCCCTTTTCTCACAGGGAACTACTAAATGAAAAGTTTTAATTTTTTCAGAGGAAATAAATGTAACTTTCAATTTCTTTCTCCAATTTTTAAAAAGTAAGAATGTTACAAAATGGAGGAGTTATTCAACATCGATTCACCATCGCCGACAAGGATTGGAACTTCTGAAATAAAAAATTGTTGATTTATAGATAAAAATGTATTATCCACAATGCAGCGTATGATTTTTTACAAATTTTAATTATTATAGAAATGTTGGCAGTTTGAAGAGGAAAAACCTTTTCTTACCAAACAAAATGAAATTTAAACGTTTCTAAAAATTTTAATAAATAAGATATCGAAATGAAGAAAAATATGTTACTTCGGCCATTCCAATTTTTGCTGGCGATGGGGGCCAGCAATCGATGTTCTATCAGAAGAGGTTTCACAATAACTCCTCCATTTTGTAACATTTTTACTTTTTAAAAGCTGGAGGAGAAGGCTGAAAGTTACATTTATATCCTCTGAAAAAATTGGAATGTTTCATTTAGTAGTTACCTATGAAAACAAAACTTTTCCTTTTTTTAGATGCTACAGAATGGTGCACCCCCTTAAGAATGAAAATTTCTACGATTTGGTCACGAAAAGGTTAATTAATTCAAATATTTGTTCCACTTACGTAGTTTCCCGTCTTGAGCACCCTTTCCATGTCCTTGTCCATGTCGTGATGGTCGAGCGCCATGAATAGTGTGTTGACGACGATACAAAGGGTGATGAACAACTCTACGAATGGATCGAACACCAAAAGAGACACATATCTTTGAAAGTCAAGCCATAACCCGCAACAGTCCCACACGCAGAAGATATCGATGCAACGTAACAGCGCGGCCAACAGTTTATCCTTGAACGTCGGACCTTCTTCATCGTCGTCTGTCGGAAAGTAATAGGTCGAAACTGTAACGCGTGTTAGTAATTTTGTCTGGCACCACTCTTTTTGGGGAAAGAGGTTTTCTCGTTCTTTCTCAAGCTTGCTCTGTATTACTGTACATTTTTTTTTTCTTTAATTTCAAGTCATCAGACCACAGATTATCAGATACGAACAAGCAGGTGTCTATGTGTATACGTGTGTGTGTGTACCATGGCAAAATAAAAGTGAAAAGTAAAGAAGAATTTTCCAGGAATTGTACAGTTCTACCGAAGCAAAAGAAAAGCAAACTGTGAAAAAGAAAAGTGGAGAGCATTCAATGCGTTTTACAGTGCAACGCGAGCAGCAAGAATACGCGCAGCCAAGAAGCTGGTGCAGGGAGTGTGAAAAGGAAAAATTGAAGCAGCAATTAGGATCGAACTACAATGCAGTATGAGTCGGTTGTGGAGAAAAAGATGGAAGAACGATTTTATAACAGTTCGGGAAGGTTAAATGAATATTGCTGACTTTTGAAGTACAATTAACCCTCAATCGTTGAAACACGGCACAAGTATATCAGTCTCATGATAATATTAGTAAGAAACTCACCCAATCAATCGAGGGTGAAAACTCCAAAAAAAAAAAGTGTACTATCGCTTACCGAACAGGATGAATATAATTTTGATAAAAAGAACACGTGAATTTCTATTAAAATTTAATCTCATGATAATTTTAATAAGAACCTCGTCCAATCAATTGAGGGTGAAAACTCCAAGAAAAGTGAACGAACAATAAAAGGATAATAAAACTCAATTAAAAAATGATCACTGATAACGGGAAGAAAAAAACAATAACGAGAAAGGAACATGATAAAACAATCTGATCTGGTCCTTCGAGATGTTACTAGACTGGCAGCAACCTAAGGTCGAAGTGCGACAGTGTTGCTCGGTGTTCTCGCTAGGAACGTCACTTGAGAAGCTCTAATTCGCAATTTCTAGAGCATCGAGAGTCAATGGAACGACGTGTAATGGTAAATCGTCGCTTGAAGAAGCTTTTCGATTCTACTTTATCAGTGTGCAACGCAGGCAAACGCGGCGGTGCCCTCGAAGCGTGTGCCGTCGCGAAAATTCTATAGTAAAACTAAACTGATTCGCTGCAGTGTACGTGACCAGGCGTGGAGGAAGCCAGAAATCCAGGCACGAAGCGACCCAGGATCGTGCAGCTGCAGCGAGGACGTTTAATCTGTGTCGTATACATCAGGAAACAAACGCTGTTTCCCCAAAAAAACTACTACAAACTGTTTTCTTTTTCTCATTATCTTTTTTTTTTTTTCATTATCCATCCAAGAACTCGAGGGCTTACGCACTGCAATTATTCGATGAGTTTACTTAATTAAATCTTGAAAATAATGAATATCGTGTACGCCGAGAGAAATTTGAATTTTTATATTTTCTCACTATGATCGTTATAGATTTGTCTATTTTAATTTTTGTTTTTCTTTCGATCGGTTTCTTTTCGTGGTAATAATAAACATGGAACTCATTGTGATCGTATTACTGTAACCAATAACAAATAAAATAGAAAAATAATTGGTCGTCGTTTCGATACGAATTTAGGCGTTGTTGAAATTAAGAATACGAAGTTGAAATTAAGTAATAGAAAAAAACAGAGAGAGAGAGAGAGAGAGAGAGAGAGAGAAATTATATTGTATATACGTATATAGTATATAGATAGGATTCGATCTACTATGTACAAGGCGCTCAGACAAAAATCTTCAGCACTGAATATCAACGGAGATAAAAACTGTACAAGAGTCTTAACAACGGTGTACATCAAAATGACAGGATGCTCATCACATAAGAGATACACATCTGTGATAAAGGGTGATAGAAAACTGTAAGAAAAGAGTAACGTGAGCGGAGGAGGTGAACTCTCGACATTACCTCCTTGCTCTGGGGTTCTGCTTTGACGACCCGCAGCCTGTTCTATGATGTCGTTCAGTACCATCACGTCTGCAAGAAGAATATGCAAATTGTTTATTTGAGAAAAAATGTTTTATGAACTTCAACCTTTTAAAACCTGAGCAATGTTTCTTTAACTATCATTTGGGAGTCAATATCTTAAAAAGAAAAAGTGTGTTTAGTTATTTTAAATGTTTATATACAAGTTAATGAAAAATTTGAAAGGTCAAAAGTGTGAGTGAGCGTCGGTGCTCATTTAGGCACCGAAGGATTACAGATTTATTTTTGAAATTACCTTTCATATCAACCACGGCATGTTGTTGAGAAGGCTCTATAAACGGATTGTCTTGTTGCTTTGCCTTGCCCATGGGATCCTCCAGATCACCCTCCTACAGGCAAAATGAAATATATTCGACGTTGTTAAATTTCTATGAGCTCGCTGATAATAAATATGTCAAATTAAAGAGAGGAAGTGGAAAGTGAAAAAAGTAATTCATAATGTATTATAATTCTGAGTGGGAGAAATGACCTCGAGCAGTCAACAGATTCTGTACATATTATAGCAAGGAACACTTCTGAATTTTCTATCGTTATTTACTTGTATTCTTCAGTCGCTGCTTATTCAATTTTTCAAATTCTTTTATAATTTTTACGCAATTTTTTCTAACTTATTTCCAAGGTTGAAACCTCTTTTATTTACTTAAAATCTTATCTGTATTCTTTTTAACAGAAAAATTGGTGAACTGTTAAATTCTTCAGAAATACCACTTCTCACTGTGGCATCCGAAAATAAAATCAATGCTATGTATTCCAGAAAGACTAGTTCTGTGAAATAAAATAAATTACAATTATCCATCACTTTTCTTCTGCATTTATAAGCACTCAAGTGATAACCAAATCAATCTGTTCCTCTTACAATACCCTCCTACACAACTTAATTTCTCACAATTTTAGAACCACGTTCTAAAAACACCAAAGTCAACTCTTCAGTTTAATAAATCCTCAGTTTTATAAATCAAAACTAAAGTTAGAAAGAAAATGAATTTTTATCACTAATAGAATTATTTTCCTATGTGTTTAAAGGTCAGCTATTCGTTGTTCTTCGTTATTTTCGTTTAATACTCCTCAATCTTATAAATCAACATTGAACTTAGGGCCAAAACTAATCTTTCTCACTAATCTATACCACAAATCCAACTCTCATCCTCATGAATCAAAGAGTTAAATCAAAGTTACCTTCACTCTTCATCTCCATTTGAAATCAACATTATCCATACCCTCTCCATCAATCATCTCTGTTTTAAAAAAAGACCCCTGTGTATACTCACGTAATGGTACTTCTGATTATTGTCCGTGAAGTGTCCGTTCACAGACGGAGGCCTGACGGATCTGATTCTCAGCTGACTCTCCTTGGTCATTGGTTTCCCTGCGTTCGCGATACCACCAATTAGATCACCATGAGACGTGTACGAGTGTCGCGATGCGTGAGACGTGTACGACGAGTGCCTGGAGCCAAGATTTGCGTAGTACACCGGCACAACGATTGTGCCATTCTCCTCAGACATCGGCGTGACAGCGTTCGAGTCGTCCGCGTATGGCAGATGTTCCTGGGCGTCGAGGAACGTCGAGAGCACCAGTGGTTTTCGGTCACCGCCTGGTGGACCCACGAATCGTCCTCTTCCGTTTCTGATCGTGAACTGATGGCTACCGCGGCTGCTCCGGCGAAGATTGAATGGTGAGCCAGGCAGGCTAAGGCTTGCCTGAAATTACAACAAAGCGGACCACCGCTTTTCTCTCTCACCGTTCTCGAGCCTCTCTCGGAAAGCTTGGACGTTAGGGGGACGTTTTTGGGGGGACGTTAGGGTTCCTCCTTCTTTCTCACGGTCTCCCAGAATCGTTTCGAGAATCTATCGAGCGGAAATGTCGATGAGATCGAACGTTTTCGCAACCTGATTTTCTTGCGACTATCCTAGCGCGAAGGTGTTGAACTTCGAATCAATGATGCCTTACCGCGTGAGTCACTAAAGATAGTAATGTGTGATATTCCTGGCTAAAGGTACTAGGTTTCGTTGTGATTCTGAAGGTCTAAAAGTCGAAGTAAGGCGTGAGTTGATGTCGTACTAGTTGTTGTGTGCGACACTGTGATTGATTTTAGACTTGTGTCTTTAGGTTCAGGTGAATTTTAAGGGAGATTGGTAATGAAGGATGTTGGATACTCTGGAGGATCTGTGTGGCTCGTTCTGTGTACGATATATTGGTTCTTTGGTACCAATTACATCTTTTAAGTGAAGTCATCCGTTGGGAGATTTTATCTATTTCTATTCGAGTTTGTAATCATTGAACATTGAAGTAACACCCAAACATGAATATTTGTTTCTTTAATTGGACAGAGAAAGGTATTCTTTAAAATATTGTTCAAATGATACAGATGTAATAGAAGATTAACACTTTCACTATCCAAGGAATACGAGTAAAAAGTTGGCTTAACTTAGTCTTTCAAAAAAATTACAAATTATCTCGCCTCTTTTTAAGATACACTCTTTACATTTAAATAACACTGTTACTCTATAAAGCCATGTGACTTGGAAGTTACATATCCATTTATCTATATCTTACAAGCCAATTACCTTGTACTAATTATTAATTCTTGCTTTTTCCAGGAAAATGTAAAATTTCAATCAGATTGTAGAGGATTGCTTGAATTATTTTCATAATAATTCAAACATAGACCTCGTTCTGTACGAAAAAAAAAACATGTGTATACGTAGACAAGTTCAAACTGTCGTAACAATAAGCCATATGTGATCCAGCGGAGAGTGAACGTGTTAAAGTACCAAGAATTCATCATAGCTTCTCTAATCCAACATTCTAATACAATTTAATAGCGAATCTGAAAAAATTCCTTCAGAACAATTCTTAATGATAACGATAAAATATGACTAGCTATTATAACATTCCTTCTTCAGGATGATTTCCAACGAGCGAATGCAAACAACTGGAAACATATTTCTACACAGAGCGTTTCACCCGATATCTCCATCGAATCTTCAAGCATCCCTCAGTTACGAATGATTCTCTGATGGCGATTAGAATATTTTACACCGATTCCCGACGCAATGAAACGCCCTCGACGATCGATGGTTATATCGAGACATGACGATGGATTTTGGATCATGGATCCTGTACAGCTATTTAGTACGTACGGTCGGCGGCGACAGACACGTCGTGACACACATACCTTCCGCAGGTTTTCCTGGTAGGCATAAGTAAACTGGCCATTAGCGGCGCGAGAGACCTTAAGAAAAAAACAAGAAAAGATATCTCCTACCAAACGGCTCGTAACGTTGTCTAATGTGTACACCAAGGAGGCACTCGATACGGATACATAAATATAATTCACCAAATTCGACGAACTTAAATTACTCGTGAAGTGTTTGTTAGGTATATGAAAATTGTTTCGGACAAAAATCGTAATAATAATCAGTTTTTTGCTACTCCTTACATTCTTATCGAAACCTCCTTAACACTAAAACTACCGACCGGGTCAAGATGACCCATTATCATCTTTCGAAAAAACGTGAATGTTCTATACTGGTAAGTATTATCGCTTGTAACTTTGCGAATTTATATTCTACATGTATGCTTCCATTTGTATCGGTACGAATCGAATTTTCCAATCACGGTTTACTTACATAAAAATTCACTTTTGTAAAGTCGCTAATGGGTCATTTTGACCCGGTCGGTAGTTTTAGTGTTAAGGTCTCCTTAAGTTTTTTAATTTCATCTTGCAATTTCGAAGAGTATTGAACGCTGAGCAAATGAGTTCAAAAAGCATTAATTACTGAGATATTCTATAAATAATTTTTAACGTATACAAAAGATTCAATGAAATCATATTACAACATATCCGGTGTACCATAGTAGTTATTTACTCCGTTACAGAGTAGAATATTACACATTCCAATGAAAAACTCAAGGTGATTTTCATATCTTGATAAGAAAGCAAAGTAGCAAAATATTTATTACTGTACCGTACGTTTTCTTTGATACCATACGAATTTTCTTGCGGCAAACTTGTTAGCGGCAGCGTATTTTTAAGAGTCGTCGAAGCTAATTAGCCCAATTTTGTATGATTTATAGTAGATGTTTAGACTATGTGAGGCCAGAGGGAGTGTTTATGAAAGGAGACAGTCCAGACTCGGTTGATTATTTGGAAGAAGGCATGAGAAAGTTTGGGGATGGCAAGCAGCCTGACGTTGCATTGTCTTAAGAATGAGAATATTGTTCCTAGAAGATCTGGCCACGGAGCGGGGAAGACCGAGGGTGCCTTCTGGTAAGAGAACGGTGAGAAGCAGCACGGCACTTACCCCAGAACTTCGGAACAGGGTGAACGAAATAGTAAATTGGCAATCTGTATTATTACTTAAACAATTCGTTAAATATTGCCAACAAACAAATACTTTACGAGTTAGGTGAATCAGTCTGTATAATAGCAATGAAAGCTAAGGGAGACACGAAGATCCGTAACACGTTATAGCATCTTCCGTAGATTTTTGCAAGTAGAATCGCTGGAAATTTCTAGGTGCAAAGTGTGTTTCTTTGGAATGTGAATCTGATACTTTGTCACACTGTGGAAGCTTGGAAAAATATTGGAAGTAATTGCGTGTAATATTAGTGGTAGTTTATAGTAGCAGTATCAATATAGGGAACTACTGATCTAACACTATACCATACCAATAGTAGTACTCAACAAACATAAATCACAGATTCACCTTCCACAGGTATATTCTTACACTTGGAAATCTCCAACAATTCTTATGCATATACATATGTTAACAAAATGTGAAATAAAATAGAAATCTGATAAAGTGGAGATCGAATATATTAGAAAATGAAGAATAAAATGAAAATCTAATGTCTTAAAAGAAAAAAGTAATCTTATTTATCCGTCCACTACCTGAATACTCTTTCAACGCATACAATATAGCAATCTTGAATACAACAATGTTTGCAAACTCTCTTCGATTACATTAAACATTAATTTCTTTTTCTCTGAGTATGTGATTATTTGCATATTATTGTCATTTCTCTTTTACCTTCGCAAAACCGAAAATTCGTATCTCCTTTCTCTACTACACACATGCGTTACCATGCAAGACGGCACAGAATGATATGCCCGCGACTTCTTACATCGGCAACGATACATCGAACCTACTCTTTACACAAGTCCGTGTGTGAACCAGGATCGATGATGGGAAAAACCAAAAGCTCATCAAACGCCATTCTCGAAACCAAGACAGAATCGATGAAGAAAATTCAACGCAACGTAAGCAAGGAGTATCAATTAAGCGTCCTAACGAAGTTACCAAATTAGTTATCATTACGAACAATTCGATTTACAATACGTACGACAAGCATGCTACAGAGCGATAGACTTTTAATGGAAGGGGCTCGACTCGTCGCTTTTAAAACGCTAACTTAAGCCTAAGTATAATGTCTTCTGATCAGAATTCATCAACCTTCCCCTCCTTTACTCCCTAACACACCTTAATAAATCCTTCATCCTGCTCACTTTGCCACTGTCGGTTGACGAATGCTCAACAAGACGAATCTACACGATCCCTGTCCTTGGAACTCTTGCAGTTGTCCAAACTCACCAAACAGAGCCGTCCATTTAATCTTATCAGTGCAATACAGTAATGTTCCAATCGAAAGGTTCGTATTATCAAGATAAATATGATCGATTATTATTCCTTGAGTTTTCAGGAGACACGTGATCACGCGGATTTAATTTTGTTCTAATATTAAATGTAATAGTATCATCCAATGTCAAAGATTTCAATTTCTCTAATTTTCATCCTACCTTTATGAAAGTAGAATCAACGAGTTAGTGAGATTCTCCCGATGAAAACGAGTCTAAACACGATATAAATCAGACTAGCTTTAGCAGTAATCAATTTAAATATATCGGGTGGTGAAATGTGACGTGCGTCAATTTTTAAGGGTACTTTTAAAACTGATTATTATTATTAAGACTAGTCCGATTTATGTTGTGTTTGGGCTCATTTTCATCGGGAGAACTTCACGTATCCATTGATGCTATTTTCATAAAAGTAAGATAAAAACTACAAAAACTGAAATTTTTGATACAGTGAAACCTCGATAACTCGAAAATCTCTATAAGACGAAAATTTTGTTAATTCCCTTTCGCTCCGCTGTAAAACCCTCTACAACTCAAAATGAAACTTCCGTTAACTCGAATTATTTGTCTCATGTTTAATATGTATTTTGCGTTCACAACTCGAATTCAGAAGAACCCCGACCTCTACAAGTCGAAGTTAATTTCTACATATCAGTCAATCGATCCAACAGGATCAACGGTTCAACGATCGTCAATTCTTTATTTCTTTTGATCACAAAAGCAGTTTTCTGTGAAAGATTGAAGGAATCAGTTAAAGCACAGTTCTATCGTTTCTCATTCTTTCCTCCGGATTATATGTGTGACAAAATGAATTCTAAACGTAAGCGGAAAACATTAACATTGGTTGATAAAATGAATATAATTGAAACAGTAAAAACTGGATCAAGAAGGAGAAAAGATACTGTTAATGACCTCTCTTACTCGAAACCTCTATAACTGGAAGATTTTTTCCCTTTCCTTGAGATTCGAGTTATCGAGGTTCCACTGTATTTGGATGATTCAATGCAACGCATGTGTCATCCCTTCCACGAGTTACATTTTAGTTACTCTCGCTATATCTATTCACTTTCCTTGTCGATGTGTGTAGGTTTGCTGAGTTCAAGGCACTGAGTGGTGGGTAGCGGAATTTCCCTATGCTATGTTGTAAACTCATAAAGTTTTTGTACTTGAAAGTACTTTGTTAATTATCTGACTCGTGGCTCGGATTAAACCAAATAATAATTACGATTTAAAGGATGGCTTTCACGAATTTACAAGTGCAATAGAAACTTCTTCAAATTTCTATCCTCCTTAGAAAGATTACAAAGATTTTTTTTCCACGGAAATATGCACTGTTAGCTTTCTTGTGCTATGATATTATACATACATATCGACCCTCTGAATAGTCTCGATAAATGCTTATAGCCTCTACAATGGCTCTAATACGCATCTCCAGATTCTCAGGTCTAATAGAAATGGTAGGTCCATTATGGCCTCCCATGGACAGCCCCGTACATGGCAGAAAGTGGCAAAAAGCTCTGTTCCATACAAAAATGGAAAGATCGAAAATGTTCGATCAAGTATTAGACCGACGAGTCGAGTCGAGATTGAACAGCCTCGCATGAATCGTTCTCGTAGAAGCGAGGTCAAGAGGGACAAGTTCGATAACAGGAGGTAAAAGAGAGTACATTACGTCAAAGGAGGACAAATCGATGGTATAAAAGAGAGAGAAAGAGAGAGAGAGAGAGAGAGAGATCGGCCAGTCAGACACTTACGGCGCTGACTTTTCGCACTTTTGTGGTGGTCGTGTGATTGTTGATCTGTTTCACCCTGTGCTCGCTGACCGACTCGATCGAACGTATGCTCATCCGCTCCTTGTTGTTATCGTCGTTCCCTTTCTCCTGGCCAACGAACAATTCGTAGCTGTGACACGAGAAATCTGACGGTGATTTGACGATATGATCAGCCGCAACCGCAGCCGCCGCAGCTGCAGCCTCACGAGCCGCTGCCTGCGCCGCCAACTTGTTCTCCTTTGCCAGAGCTGCTTCTTCGGCTTCCTGTTGGCAAAAGTAATCGTTGTATACAAGGTGAACCGCGTAACGTGATCAGTTTAAATTATTCTCTTGTTTTGTATTGACCAATCGAAATTTGTGCCACATAGTATGGTTTAAAGAGGACCTTAAAATGATTTTTATCAGTTTTCTTTTTTAATCTGGTAATACAGAATGGCGAGTTAACTCGTTAGCCAATACGTAGAACACAGTAGTTCATTTGTAGAGGGATTATTATTTCTAATTTTACTATTATGCCAGTATTAAACGTAAAATACATCATATTCCTATTTGCAAGAACGAAAATGAAGTAATTGGTTATAATTTTTACTTAGACCTGCAGAAAATATATTATACATTTAGAATATATTTCATCCCCTTGACACTTTATGATAAATTTAAGGTTAGTGCATTATTACATAAATAAGCATTGTGTGATAATTAACGAAGCCGCCAGTTAATTTTAAAATATTAAAATACTCGTGCTAGGGTAGTTCAATTTAATTATCCACAAAAATACGTACTCTTATGGCTTCTTCCTCGGCAGCTTCCTCCTCTTCAGCCTTCTTCTGCAACTCATCGTAAGACATCGCGACAATGGCGAGAATCAAGTTGACGAGATAAAAGGAACCGAGAAAAATGATCACGATGAAGAACAACATATGCCATGGTCCAGCCGATCGTAGCACCAGCTGATACAGATTCTCCCAGTAATCTTGAGTCATCAGACGAAAAGCAGAAAGTAAGGCCCAGCCGAAGGTGTCGAAACTCGTGTAACCATAATTCGGATTTTCACCGTAACCTTGTAAACACGTATAGCCAGGAAGGCACTGCCTATATTCAATAAATCATCCTCGTTAAATCCATAGAATGAATAATACGTAATATACAGGGTGTTTCAAAAAAATATTAACAATTTTGTATATTTTCTTTTCTTTTCTTTGCAATTGATTGAAGTGGCAACGATATTATCTCGTGCCATGTGATCTCTTGCTGCGAGGAATGGTTAAAGAACGTGCTATAAATCTCCAACAGAATATTCCAAATATGATTGCAACAACACCGGAAGAAAAATGCTGGATGACCATCAAAAAGACCACCTGGGGAAGATTCCAAGGACTCTTTGAAGACGAAATACATTTGTTAATGCGACCTATTGTGTTATCAGTCCTGTTTGTCTAAAAAAAAGTTTCTTCCATATAAGCGTTAACATTTTTTTCACTCACCCCATATAAAATTTTGCAAGTGAAAGAAAAAGATATCCAAATTACCCTGCTCCAGATGAATTTCCACACAAGGGCATGTTTTTCGCCTCGTCCACGTACCAATTAGCTGAGTAAAATAATCAGTGGAATTATTTGGAAATGATAAAATTTCAAATTTCTCGATTTGAAGGAAGAGATTCGAAATCCTGAAAAACTCTCTTTTCACGAGTTACGTACTTTCATTACTAACGAATCGCTCCCAGTTTTCATGGGTGAGATTGCCCCAGGAGCCGTCCTCGGGAAAGTTCTTTATACACTTTTGCGTGAGCACCCCCATGTAAATCTGGAGGCCCATCAGCGCAAAGACGGAAAGAGAGAACATCGTCAGGATTATCACATCGCGCAGGTTCTTCACGGATTCTATCACAGCGCCGACAATGGTTTTCAGACCTGGTGAACGAAACAAAAACGGAACCAGTGGATATGTCAGTAAATGGCCATCACTTCGGCGACGAAGACGTTCAGTGGCGGGCGTGGACGAATTTTTTTTTCTTTTTTTTTTTTTTTATATATGTATAATATATAACAAACAAGACACCGCTTTTCACGTTGCAGCGTGTGGAAAGAGATAGATAGATAGATGATGGACTGACTGAGAAAACGGATGGAAGGAACATGGAAGTTTATACATATATACAGACATGTATATTTATCATTGAACAGGGAAACATCAATGGAGAAGATAAGGAATACAAGGATGTAAATAGATATGGCTAGCAGAAGATCATGACAGACAGCTTTGTTTTCTATGATCAAATATTCCCGATAATTTGATCAGACTTTCAATATTCAACGAATGAATCTCTGATCGATGATCGAGTGATAGATGGAAGGCTGGCGAGCAAAAAAATGGCGCATAAAGAAGGGAAGAACAAGGGTTAACGTTTTAAAAGAGTAAGATAGAAAGAGAGACAGAGAGAGAGAGAGAGAGAGAGAGAGAGAGAGTGAAAAAATAATGGTCCTTTTTTTTTAAAACATAGATAGAAAAAGAGAGATAGAGACAGAACAGGCGTTGTCGGTGATGATGCGAGAGAGAGAGATGTGTGTGTACAGCGAGCCGCGACAAAAGTGTGTCTATATGACGTCTCTAGGAAATATATATATATATATATATCTGCGACTACACCCAATTGATCTATTTCACTAAGCATACCTGGTACAATAGCGACAGTCTTCAAGGCTCGGAGGACTCGAAATGTCCTGAGAGCGGCAAGGTTGCCTAGATCTATGCCCATCGTCACATAACTGCAATACACCCGAACATCACACACATTACAGTGATACAAACAAAAAAACAAAACGGTTTAGAAAAAACAGAGATAGAGAGAGAGAGAGAGGTAGAGAGAGAGGGAGAGAGAGAGAGAGAGAGAGA